TGTGGCAGGTTGTGTGTGTGTGTGGCAGGTTGTGTGTGTGTGTGTGTGGCAGGTTGTGTGTGTTTGTGGCAGGTTGTGTGTGTGTGTGGCAGGTTGTGTGTGTTTGTGGCAGGTTGTGTGTGTGTTGGCAGGTTGTGTGTGTGTTGGCAGGTTGTGTGTGTGTGGCAGGTTGTGTGTGTGTGGCAGGTTGTGTGTGTGTGGCAGGTTGTGTGTGTGTGGCAGGTTGTGTGTGTGTGGCAGGTTGTGTGTGTGTGGCAGGTTGTGTGTGTGTGGCAGGTTGTGTGTGTGTGGCAGGTTGTGTGTGTGTGTTGCAGGTTGTGTGTGTGTGTGGCAGGTTGTGTGTGTGTGTGGCAGGTTGTGTGTGTGTGTGTGGCAGGTTGTGTGTGTGTGTGGCAGGTTGTGTGTGTGTGTGGCAGGTTGTGTGTGTGTGTGGCAGGTTGTGTGTGTGTGTGGCAGGTTGTGTGTGTGGCAGGTTGTGTGTGTGGCAGGTTGTGTGTGTGGCAGGTTGTGTGTGTGTGGCAGGTTGTGTGTGTGTGGCAGGTTGTGTGTGTGTGTGCCAGGTTGTGTGTGTGTGGCAGGTTGTGTGTGTGTTGCAGGTTGTGTGTGTGTGTGGCAGGTTGTGTGTGTGTGTGGCAGGTTGTGTGTGTGTGTTGCAGGTTGTTTGTGTGTGGCAGGTTGTTTGTGTGTGGTGGGTTGTGTGTGTGTGGCGGGTTGTGTGTGTGTGGCAGGTTGTTTGTGTTTGCAGGTTGTGTGTGTGTGGCAGGTTGTGTGTGTGTGGCAGGTTGTGTGTGTGTGGCAGGTTGTTTGTGTTTGCAGGTTGTGTGTGTGTGGCAGGTTGTGTGTGTGTGGCAGGTTGTGTGTGTGTGGCAGGTTGTGTGTGTGGCAGGTTGTGTGTGTGTGTGACAGGTTGTGTGTGTTTGCAGGTTGTGTGTGTGTTTGCAGGTTGTGTGTGTGTGGCAGGTTGTGTGTGTGTGGCAGGTTGTGTGTGTGTTGCAGGTTGTGTGTGTGTGTGGCAGGTTGTGTGTGTGTGTTGCAGGTTGTTTGTGTGTGGCAGGTTGTTTGTGTGTGGCAGGTTGTGTGTGTGTGGCAGGTTGTTTGTGTTTGCAGGTTGTGTGTGTTTGCAGGTTGTTTGTGTGTGGCAGGTTGTGTGTGTGTGGCAGGTTGTTTGTGTTTGCAGGTTGTGTGTGTTTGCAGGTTGTGTGTGTGTGGCAGGTTGTGTGTGTGTGGCAGGTTGTGTGTGTGTGGCAGGTTGTGTGTGTGCCAGGTTGTGTGTGTGTGTGACAGGTTGTGTGTGTGTGTGACAGGTTGTGTGTGTGTTTGCAGGTTGTGTGTGTGTTTGCGGGTTGTGTGTGTGTTTGCAGGTTGTGTGTGTGTTTGCAGGTTGTTTGTGTTTGCAGGTTGTTTGTGTTTGCAGGTTGTGTGTGTGTGGCAGGTTGTGTGTGTGTGGCAGGTTGTGTGTGTGTGTGACAGGTTGTGTGTGTGTGTGACAGGTTGTGTGTGTTTGCAGGTTGTGTGTGTGTTTGCGGGTTGTGTGTGTGTTTGCGGGTTGTGTGTGTGTTTGCGGGTTGTGTGTGTTTGCAGGTTGTGTGTGTGTTTGCAGGTTGTGTGTGTGTTTGCAGGTTGTGTGTGTGTTTGCAGGTTGTGTGTGTTTGCAGGTTGTGTGTGTTTGCAGGTTGTGTGTGTGTGGCAGGTTGTGTGTGTGTGGCAGGTTGTGTGTGTGTGTTTGCAGGTTGTGTGTGTGTTTGCAGGTTGTGTGTGTTGCAGGTTGTGTGTGTGTTTGCAGGTTGTGTGTGTGTTTGCAGGTTGTGTGTGTTTGCAGGTTGTGTGTGTGTTTGCAGGTTGTGTGTGTTTGCAGGTTGTGTGTGTGTTTGCAGGTAATGTGTGTGTTTGCAGGTTGTGTGTGTGTGGCAGGTTGTGTGTGTGTGGCAGGTTGTGTGTGTGTGTGACAGGTTGTGTGTGTTGGAAATGACACAGAAAGGAATGTGTGTCCTCTCTCCACCTGCGTGGTTTATTCCTGCTGACTCTGGCAGGAAATTAAAGAAATGTTGCCCATTTCTCCCAGTTCTTCCCTTCTTTCCCAGTTACTGTAAATGAGACGGATCCCAACCCGCCTGATTATCGGTGGGCTCATCACTCATCTTCACCACTTCTCTAACAGCCACACGAGTTTCGTTTTCTCTACATGAACCTTATCGTGACCTTCATCTTTACTTTCACACGCCTTCACTGATGATGACATTTGTCCGTGTGTTCCATAAATATTCCTGTGAGGTTTCTCTTCCTGCTGCATGTGGGAGTAGACAGCTCTAGATTGAGGTGTTAAGAAACAGGAAGTGGGTGGACAGGAAGAGGAAGTAATCAGGTTGGGTGTCTGGATTTAAAATGAGTCCTCCATTAATGATCATGATGAGAATTTATTTCTCACCTGCTCAGGTTCTGACTGAGTGTTGTTGGCATGGTAACCCTCCCCCCAATAGTTACACATCCGAGAGTTGGGGGGGGGGGGGGTGTCTGATATGCTCATAATGTAATAAGCTTCTGATAACCGGCTTTTATATTTCATCAAAAACATTCTATAGTAGAT